TTAAGTTTTCTAGCAAACACAGTTTCTAAAAATGTTTCTGTCTCCGCAAATTGCAGCTCCAAACCTCGATTGAGAATTGAGAAACAGAACAATAGTATGAACCCCATATTTTATGGTAAAACCACATATTTGTAATATATGTTTCGGTAGCTACGAAAGCAATATCATACCCATATACAATAGCCTAAGTTTATTAGGTGAGAGAGTACTCTACTCTTAGGGTGTAACCGTTGTTGCCCGTCGGTGTGCCGTTGATGAACTCATAGTAGTCTCAATAAAAAACTTAAAATATTTTCATTCTCTAATCTACACAATTCAACTCTTTAGGCATCACTTAGAAGTAGCTATGTAGCTCATATCGCAGTTTTCATAATGTATCCTTGTTTCTTTTACTGGATTTGGCAGTAATATCATCAATAAAAGAGATTTAATTAGGATTGTGCTTTGAGTAAATACAATTTCGTTCTTCATATTATAAATTTATTACTTTTAATCCATCTTCTTAAGTGTTCAGCTTCAGCTTTATACGAGTATGGTGAAGCATTTCGCCTGTCTACATACTGGGGCCGAAGGAGCGTATTTTGCGAAATTTATTTTTATTTGCTTTTTAATAATTTTACCTTCGCATTGGCAGAAAACTAAAGGAAACTAAATATGCATAAAAATGTGTTTCTGCATCTCATTCAATTGATGCAGTTTAATTGCGTTGCGTTTCCTGCTGTTGTTGGAGCTCTTGGTGGTTTTCCAGTTGGCTGCGTTCTGTATCCTTTTCCAGCAAAACCCCGTTTCCATTTGCAGTTTTGTTTCACGAAACTGTATCTGTGTATCTGCTGCGCGACTGCTGCGGTGGGGGATTGCATTGCGAATGTTTAAAAAACATTTTTTCATGCATCTTCAAGTGGTAGAAATTGTAAAGATACAAATTTTTTAATAAATATATTTTTTCTTTTTGTGCATAAATTTTTATGGATGAAATAATTTTTTAATCGTAATAAACTCAAGTGGGCGGGTTGTTATTTCACTTTTTTCTCCTTCTGCATAGTAATTTATTTATATGAAGTTTGAGTCTGTGAGTGAAGATGCTCGTTAATCAAAAAATTTCCTTTTTATTTTTTTTAATTTTATTTTTTATTTTAATTTGTTTTGTATAAATAAAAGGCACATAAAAGTTTTTAATATTTTCTTTCAATTCGAAAAATTTTAATTAACAAGCAAATAGAGAAGAAAAATACTTTATAAGTTTTGAACAAAGGCATTTACATCTCGGGAAAATGTTAAAATTTTTTTAATTGATTGAAATTTAATTTAATTTATTAATTTCTCGGATTATTAGACTTAAAATTTAGTATTTATATAAAACTTGTATCGTTTTCGGCTTGAATATGTATAACATATTTAGTATTTAAATAAAGTCAATGGTTTCTCCATAGGTAGAAACTTTTATACTTCTATAAAACTCTTAATATTTCTAAAAAGAATACAAGTATGGAAATTATTTAGCATGAGTGCGAAAAAGAATCGTTGTGCAGTTTTGGTATTAATCGGGCTACAGAGTACTAAAGAAAGATAAATGCGACACAGAGTCCTAGCACCAAGAAAAGAAATCATATCGGAGGTGTGAAAATTTTTAGTATTAATCGGAATACAGAGTACTAAAGAAAGATAAATACGACACAGAGTCCTAGCACCAAGAAAAGAAGTCATATGGGAGGTGTGAAAATGTTTAGTATTATTCGGAATACAGAGTACTAAAGAAAGATAAATGCGACACAGAGTCCCAGCACCAAGAAAAGAAGTCATATCGGAGGTGTGAAGAAAGATAAGTGCGAAATAGAATCCCAGTATCAAGAAAAGAAATCAAACGGGGTTGTGAGCATTTTTGTATTAATCCAAATAGTGGGAGAAAAAGAATCATTATATATTTTTAGTATTAATCGGAAACAGAGTACTAAAAAATGATAAGTGCAAAACAGAATCCCAGGACTGAGATAAGAAATTATAAGGGATTGTAAGCATCTTTCGTATTAATCGGAATAGTGAGAAAAAGAATTATTACATATTTTTAGTATTAATCGGGGTGCAGAGTAATAAAGAAAGGTAATTGCGCAACAGAATCTCAGCACCAAGAAAAGAAGTCATATGGTACGTTTAAGAATTAATCGGAATAGATAGTACTAAAAAGGCAAGTACCAAAAAGAATTAGTGAATCAAAAAAACAAGTCGTAAAGGAAGTGTAATGATTTTTAGTTTCAACCGAAGTGCAGTGTACTAAAGAAAGATCTAACTAACGAGGATTTCTGTTTAGTCAGATATTCTTGATATCTCAATAACTGTTCATTCAAATAGCTTGAATTGTAAAAATTGGTTCAGAAACTGAATAGTTTAAAACTATTTTAAAAAATTCTATTCGGAAAATTATTCGGAAAGTCATCAAAGTGGTTAGCAAAGTCATTACTTAGAGATGATCAAAAGTAGTAACGTGTTGAATATTACGCACACAATTTACACAGACTTAAACTCAATAAGTAGGATTACTTCGTGCTACATGTAACCATGGCTAATACATATTCCTAGCCCTATACTCCGAAGACAAATCGACAGGCAGTTGAGTTAATATCAATTAGGGAAAACTTAGCAAAGCAACCAAAGGCGTAATTGTAGGTTGAAAATATTATGATATCCATATCTTGGGATTGCGTGATACAGTATTTGTTAATAATCTTAAAACAGCAATTGCAATTGATAATGATTATTGTAAAGCAAACGAATTAAAAAAACATACTTTTCCTTCAATATCGTGCACCGTGTAATAAAAGATTCATAATAATGACCAAAATATATAAATTACAGGTTGAACTTTTTGTCTATCTAGTGTATTCTCAAGTGAGTGTGAAAAATCCTGCAAAAAAATAATTTGGATAGAGATTCTAATAATAAATGATCATTGACATAGGAATCTATGTTAGAATTGTCAATCTTTAATCTTTACTTAAATATTGCGGTTTAACATATAAGCCAGATCAAACTTCTTTTTTCCATTTTGGATGTATTTATTTAATTGCTGTTGATATATAAGTATAATAAAAGACCTCTTAGAGTACATTCGAGAAGAGCTAGATAATAATTTTTTTTCTACATTTAACTGCACCTAGAGAACTAGTTAATTGATTGAGAAGGCATTCAAAAAACAGTTCTGCAGTGCTAACACATCTCAGTTTCCTGTAAAACTTATTGGCGTATTATTTTACAAAGAAAGCGGGCTGGTTTCATAAGTTGAGTGTCTTTATAGTTTGTTTCTGTTATTTCAAGGCCCGAACTAGGGATTAAATGATTAAATTTATTATTGCTTCTTTATCTTGGTAGCAATATTTGCAATCGTCTGCTTCGGAGATACATCTGTGGGACACTTCTAGATTATGTCTGTTGAGTTGTTGTAAGTTTCTTTTACTTTTTTTGCTAAAAAATAGTATTTTTTTTTGTAAAATACAACATAGTTCTTATAATATGTCAACATTCTTTAATATGTGTTTATACTCGTATAAATTTATTATGGCATTAATGTCAGAGATGATTCGTTGGATCAAGTAATTTTGTGCTAAAACTATATATTTCTCAAAATTTCTGTAAAACCCTTTATTTGATTTTTGTATATAAGTACCTCATAGTCTTCCAAATGTGTTTCCAAAACGAACTACATTTTTTATCATATAAGAAAAAGTTTTTAAAAAATAATTTAGAAAAAGTTGTTTAAAATAACCGATTCTGATATAGTCCCCAATCCAAAGGGCCTTTTTTTTAAAGGTTCTCAAACTCAATGTTGGACAAATATGTCTTTTTCTTGATACAAAAAAATTTTTGTTCTTCAACCTTTAATTTGTATATAACTTATATTTCATTTTAACTTGATATTCAAATTTTTTTTTGCTTTCTACAGAATTTGTGTTAAAATATATTAGAACTAAATAGGGTCTTAGGAGTAATCTTATTTAGGGTTCATTTTTCAAAAATGTGTTGAAATTTATAGATCATTGAGTTTTATAAACTATAATTTAGTATGTCATCGTCTACTTATAGAATTTGTGTGTAGATATAGTGTATTTTATTGTGTGCTCCCAATATTTATCCAAAATTCAAGTCTGATCCAAATTCAACAATTAAATTTTCATTCTATCCACTAATGACGTTTTTTCTATTGCTCAAAATTGTAATAAACGTAATCACAATTTTTGAACCTTTTCTTTATTGTGACGCTATCTGTAATAATAACTGTCATGTTCAGAATTATAACATTAATAAATGTAAACAGATATTTGTAGATACCATATAGTTTTTTTCTGGTAAGTACATAAGTAAGTAGACAATTTTTTTAGTACTAGTTCATTTGTTACTGGTCATCGTTAAAATTTTTAGCAATTTAAATAGAAATTTGCTATGTTTATGTTAACATGTTTAACATATTATCATGATATATATATAAACCAACGAAACTCTAGCAAATAAACTATAAGCAAAAATAAGCAATCCTCCCTGAGGGTGACGAAAATAAATAAGATTTCATTCCAATTTTTAATTTAAAATCAGATTAGCATAAATAAATAATTATAATTATATACTGTAGTTTAAAACTTGAACTAAATCTATATCCATATCCAAATAGATATGCGGAGCTATGTACACTAGCAAAAATTAGACTCTTAAGTCACTAGACTTCAAAATCATCTTCATTCCAAGTGAGACTCTAACAGGTTCACCTATGAAATAGAGTAGAAATGTTGATTGACACCAACTCGAATAAACTATTTATAATATACAAATATTTGTTTTTTTTATACAAATTTAATTTTTTTATTAAATTGTATATGTAATTATGAATCTAAATTTAATTAATAAAAAACACAATTGTTTAATTTATCATAAGATTTTATTAATTATGAATTCTGGAAAATTATGTTAAAACTTTAATTAATATTGCACAACTAATTAATATATTTACACTTGATTCTTCATTAAATTAACTAAATTAAATAAAAACTTTATGTGAATAAATTCTCAACAATTCTTAGCCTCAATGGAAATCGAATTTACAACGGACATCCGTGTACGTAACCGACATTGCGAAAAATGGCAGCAGCTGCAGCAGAAGTCAAAAAGTTACATGGATTCGAAGGACTAAAAGTTGACAACCCTGTTGGGCAACAGCCCAATGCATTACTAGTACCATTTTCGCTAGCGAACTCCTTCTCCAAAGAAGCTTGGTGACGCAATTGCTCTAAACGTAGCTGATTTTGACGTTTCCATTTTGTTCTAAATAAATTAGAAGAATGTAAATTTCGGAATTATAAATTCATATAGATGAAAGCCCTTACCTTCTATTCTGATACCAAGTTTTTACTTGTGTTTCAGAAAGATTTAATGTCTCCGCCACATCACTTCGGTCAGCTACGGATAAATATTTTTGGCAGCGAAACTTCCGTTCCAAGTAAGCAAGTTGTGCATGCGTGAATGCTGTGCGTCTTCGTCTGGGCTTTCTACCTGATTTACTTATACCTGGTATTTTACTGTGTTCCGAGTAACCGTTGTGACTCAATTGAGGTCCTTCAATATTTGGCGAATGTTGTGTTGACTCAACGCTTGACTCATTGTTACCAAAATGCATTTGTGCTGCTGAGAAATGGCTGTAGGTATCATTATGACAATTAATTGCTTCGGAATCCGGTGAAGATCGATCCTCAATATCAATTTCTGAATTATCATTTGATAAATCGGAATCTGTAAATAAATTTTCACTAATTTTATAATTATGTATAAAGAAATATATAAATGTGCACTATTATATTAGTAAATGTGATATTAGTTGTAATTTATTCTTTCAGAGTTGTAAAAAAACAGTATTAAGTCTGGTAATGTTAAATGCTTATTTCAGACATATTTTTTTTGTTGTGTTGTATACAATATGAAATATAAAAATTGTAAACACTAAAAATTAACTAGTTTAAATAAAAAAAAAAAAAGTATGTTAAAAGGGCAATGGTTAGCATTTTTTGTTATATATTTAAATTAATTTATTCATTTATTTATTTGAATTTATAAGTAAATGAAATGTTCATATTTTAACACATATGACAGATGACTGGAATTTTGCAGCATACTTCCATTAAATATTCACTATAGTCAATTTTTGAATTTGGCTAAAAACTTTGTTGAATTTGAATTTGTTAAAACTTACGACGTAAAATTTTTTGCGAGTAAAACCTAACTCTGAAGATTTTAAGAGCATTGTTGTTGCTTCACATATTTTCTTTCGTAAGTTATGAGTATTTTTTTGCTACTCTGAAAGAAAAAATTACGGCTATTATTAAACAATGTACTCAATGTGTAATTTAAAAGTCGGTTTTTGAATAGCGTAGTTTTCAATTCTGGTTCAATAAAAAAATTTACTGCGTTTTTTCCTTTTTAGCTCTAGCAAAAATATCGGTTTTTCAGTTTAATTTCGAGAGAATATTTTTATAAATTTTATATTATAATTTTGTCATGATGAAAATCATTTTATTCATTTTTTAAACATCTTAGGCTCATGTTATATAGATAATCATGTTCATATGACCAAGTGAAATTTTATTTATTTTTGGATGAGAGTAGAATTTTCAATTAAAAATTGGTCAAGGTGACGCTTTCTGTGTGTCGTCACTTTGGCCAAAACAGTGTTACTATATAGTAAATTTTAGAATTTGCGCCCATCAGGAGTAAATATTTGTAAAATATGACCATTGCAGAATATGATAGATATGATGATATGATATCTAGATAGATACGACAGTTCACGATATTTAATCGTAACACATGTTATCCTATTCAAAACTATTGACTGGATGGTGCAGGGCAAAAAAAAGGACAACTGCCACAACAAATATGTATTACATTTTAATGGAAGAGCTGTATTGTGAAACTGCATATCGTACTGTATCTCATATGTTTGTGATTATAACGTTATATCTTCAACTCATTTCGTTAGTTATCGTCTGATTGTGTGACATCTGACATATGTTTGTGTTTATAACGTTATATCTTCAGCTCATTTCGTTAGTTATCATCTGATTGTGTAAACCTTAACATGTTAATGAATGTGCTATTTTCTTTTTCTCAATTTTCTACAAGATATCAATGATGGATTACGTCGCCTTGTATTCTAACAATAAGGACATTTCTATATCTGCACGCTTTTATATCTTACACTCAACTAGTTTGTTATCCACCACTCTTTTCTCAGAAGACATACCTAAATGAGGTACAATCTTTAAACTCAGATAACATCAAACGAGATTTGTGGAAAACTTTTTAGTGTGTATTTTTTTTATGTAAATGGTTTTTATATAATAATAATCCCAAATCCCAATAATGTTGATTATATGGTAATTCTGTATCATCTCAAAAGTACTGATTCTCTTCTCCGATTCGAAAAAATACTTATACCAAGATTGAGTCAAGTCATCACCAACAGTTTGTTTCTCGCAGGAGTCATGGACTACTAAATATGATCATGGAGTTTTTAGTCAGATTTTTGCGCCAGAATCAAAGGAATACTAAATATGATAAAATAAACGTATATATCTAGAGTAACTGTCACGTTCCAGCTTATATAAAAAATTTCTGAAGCTAAATTATTAAAATATAACACTGTTTAACAGCGATAAGAAGAAAATTTTTTGTATTTAGGCCGCGTGCGAGTTCGAGTAAATTGAGGTAAAGTAAATTAAAATTTTCTACGAATTTTTGCACTGCACTTATGTAAATATTTATTTATTGCACTTATTTGTTATTTTTGGTTTAAAGTTTTTAAATTAATTTATTTATTTATCAAACATTTTATAAAATTTTCACAATGGCAACACTTTATTTACTTTATTTTTATCTAATTTCCCCTACTTGAAATTCTGGTAAATACCAACATTCGCTGCCATACCGACATAATTTAATATTTTCCATCAATTTACTAATACAATAACAATTGAAGTCAAATGCAAAATCGGAAATTTATGTTGTATTTACTTTTTAAATATTTAAATTTTAAAAACCATGCCGTTATGTTAAATGATATTTTAAATTACAACTTGAGGTTTTTTTTCGTTTTATATAACTTGCTCATTATTATCCCGTTGTGCAGCTCGTGTAAACGCTTAAACGCCCAAGCAAAAATTTATTATCAACTTAAAAATAACTTAGCAATTTAGTTACTCTACTTCTCTACACGTTCCGAAAGAAATTGGAAGAAATTCAAAGAGACATTTCAAGTATAAATTAATGTACTTTCAAGTGGGCGACGTCCATTGTAAACCACTAAACATCTTTCACATATGCTGACTGACTGTGCCTGACTGTTCCTGACTGTGCCTGACTGTCTGTGTGCCACTCATCGAGTGCTCAAGTAGCAAATTGTGAAATAATGCGAATCAATTTATGTGCCAATTGCTTTTAAATAAATAAATATAAAAAAATAACATAAAATAATATAAAGCATAAAAATACGGGTATCAAGAAAAACATATCAACTTGTTATTTATATCCGCCGGAGATATGCATATATCCTGTCTATCCTTTTAACCCTCACTTTGACTTCTTGTACTTGTGAAGAAGTACGCTGGGCTGATTAAATTCACGTGTCGTTCGTGGCTTTCATACGAAATGCTTTTTTCCGTTGGAATTTCGCTAAAAGCATTTTTTAGTTGAGCCGAGAGCTCCAGTATGCACAGCGTAGGCCATCACGTGTGCGTCTGTGGTAGCGAATAATTTGGCACAGCGGGCACTGATCATGTGGTACAACCCCGATTGATGAATTTGTGATTTTATTTCCCTTGGTTTATTTTTATACTAATTTCATGTGTGGTTCAGTTACTTTTTATGTCCTTTGTTGGGACAAAAATACATTTAAAGAATGTCTGTCAGTTGTAAGATTTTAGTGCTTTAGTGCTGCACAGTTAAATTGTTCAAACAAAAAAAAAATTAAGTAGAAATAATATTAAATCATGGAGATTTGTACAATATGTTGCAAAATTCAAATATATAAATAAATTAAATAATTTAAGTATATATACAATATAAAACGGCTTACTATTGCCATTCTAATATTTATTTTGTTTTCTTTTATTTAAATTAATTAATTTTTAGTGTACAATTTTTATATTTTACAACAAAAAACATATGTCAAAAACAATCATTCAACAAATTTTAAAAGTGATGCCAATTTGTTTCAACCAGACTTAATGTTGTTTTTTACAACTCTGAAAGAAAAAATTATGGCTAATATTTTGATGTTTATATTAGCTGGAATAGAACTTGTAATGTGGAAGATGGTGTCATAACAGATTGATGTATGGCAAGTGAATAACTCTTCATTAGCCAATTTCAGTATTACCTATTATATAGTATATATTTTACTTAGTTAAAATTTTATCCATCCAGCTTATATGCACAATACAATACACTATATACCTAAGTATATGCATCTCACGTTTTGGAGTTTGAACCAGGCGATATTATTAGGTTTACAATAGCCTTAATAAAGGTAAGATTAGTTAAGAGCAAATTTTCTCCACAATATATATTAAAAGTCGCGCCGTCCTAATACTCTTTTTAATAATTATAATGATAGCATATACATATATTCGACTAATCAAATTAATATTAATATATATTAATAATAATTTATTAATAATTTAATAATATATACATAACTAAATCAAAATATATCAAAATCTATATTTAAAGATATATGGAACTTTTTTATATTTAATATTTAATCAATACCTTGTTATTACCTTGTTAAATTGAAATAACAGAGAAAAAATATAAATCGACATATAGAAAAAAATATTTTGATAACATAAGAATAGTTTTCATCGCACACTATTAATGTCTAGTAAAAATATTGCATATCCTTGGAGTTTAGAAATAAAATACTATCAAGTTTGTGTCGTTTAATAATTCTTTTGGGTTATGAAACTGTGTACTCTGTGCTTTACCAGATTTATAAATTTATATTATAATATTATGAATTTGATTATTACAGATATTTCTACAGTTTTAGAATGATATTCTATTGCCTTAAATCTTAAACTATTAACAATATCTGTTCATACCATTTTTGGGCTCAGAGATGATAAAATAACTGATAGGTGCAGGACATTTTCTTAGGATTGATATAAAAGAAAGCGAAGTAATTTATTGTTAGAATTGAAGATTTTATTTCAGATCTTCAGAATACCCTGAATATGAGGATAGAATATAGTCGTAATATCGGTTCAAATAAAATGTTTTAAAAAACCAAATTTTTTTTTAAAAAGTGTATTATTTAACTATTGATCGATTAGCCCGATTAAAAAACAAATTTATTAATGTTAATTTTTTCTTGCCGAGAGTAACACGTCTTTATGACGAAAAAAAAGTATTTAAAAGTTAGATGGATTCGAATAACAAGGAAAAGACAAGAACAAAAATTTAGTTAATTTATTAAAAATTGGCTGGACATACAACACTATTTCGACTATTGCCACTTACTCATCATCAGTGGTTTGGGAAAATATTCGAATTTCTTTTTAATTAGTTTAAGGAAATTATAATTCATATAATTAATATTCATAATATTCTGGAGTATTTTCAGAAATGGAAAATACTCCAGACAGAATCCGTCGAGCGGGAGAGTGGGTGATATGGTTTAAAACTGGGAGGATAGCGTAAAATATCTCGGCATCACGTTGGACAAACGATTCACATGG